CTGTGACCCGAAAATCGAGAGGATTACGCTTTTTATGTCTACGATATGAATAAAGTATTTTCTGACAATGACAGCGTAAAATTCATCAATTTGTCTACGCGAAAATTGATTAATAATTTATTTCCGCTTCCTTGTAATTCTCTTTTTAGAGATACATACGTATAAATAATAATAACAAATATATAAATTCTTGAATCTTAGGTAAAATATATATAATAAATAAAAAATTAAAAATTAATGATAAAATAAATAAAATAAATATGAATAAAAATGAGAAGTATATTATATAATTAATACATATTTAAAATACATAACCATCATAAAGCTTATTATTTACGAGTGACACACTTGGGACCTCTAAACAAGCTAATCATTTCCTAACATATTAAAAGATCCGGTTTACCTAACGTAATCAAAGAACTTCACGTATGCGGATTAAAAAAAAACCAAACTCCATTAGCTCGGCGCGCGCCACTCAGGAAATTAGTCGTACGTAATATTTGCTTGCGGGAGCGCGACGAAGCTGTATGATTATCGGAAGGGAAAAAAGTGTTTCTATGAGAAATATAAAGAGGAGAAAAAGATAATGAAGAACTCGTTATGCAGTCAGTGGCTATATCGAGGAATCTCGTTTTTATTGAACATCTATAGATTTATCCTTTTCCGAGAAGAAGCTTTGTGATTTATTAAAGTATAAAAGTTCACCGGAACTTTGCGTGTCCTCAATAATTCAAACGAGGAGGAAATGCACGCGTTTGTTTTTGCTTATCTGCATTAATAAATTGCGTTTAAACGCGATCACAAGTCAAGGTAACACGATGTTGTAAATATTGTATGTATAGCTTTGCTACTGATTCATGTGTATACGCGATATATTTTACATTTCTTTATATTTTATCGCAATAAATCTCAATTACGAATTATGAATTAATTATCAGGTGATTATTCCTTGTCGTGCAAATAACAAGTTTCTTTACACAAACATCTTATTATTATGTTGTTTATTTTTTGCACTACATACGGCTACTATACATATAATTTTTATCAAATTGTACTGCGAAAAATATCATTTTGTAGAAGAAACATAGCAAATGTTTCTTCTACAAAACACACAAATGAAAAGTTAAAACTCTTTGCGTAATAATGTTTACGTATCCTTACAACAGATTTCTCATCAAGAATGAAGCGGCATAAATATTTATAGAAAATCAATAAAATGACAATAAAATAAAAGAAAGTTATATAAAAGAAACAAGTATAAAATTAATTATAATCGTATAACGGTCACTTGAATTGACATTTCCGATGAGTATTGATAAGGTAAAGATAAAATAATCGGATATGACAAAAGAAAATCCTTTAACGGGCTATCAGTAGATATAATTCGACGGAAACGACATGATTCACCAGATATTTGACAATATCGCCCTACAATACAACGGGTTGCATGTTTGTGCAAGTACATTATCAACGATCTTATGTCACGATGTATTCAAATGGCATATATCCACCTGTCATATATATGCACGATATATGCGATACTTGCGTAAATATACAACAAACTTTAATGCGCAACTTCATAGACACTTCATAGACACCAATTCAGAACACTTGTGACGAGATGTAATTAAGAGAGAGAAAGCATTATGCAAGGTGAGAGAATGCAAAATAAAATGTTATTTTTTTATTTAAAGAGAAATAGATAATTTTTTGAACATTTTAAGCTATAGAAAATGATTTCTGAAATATCCATTTACAAAAAAGAATATTTTATATATAAGAATAGTGTTAAAATCTTTGAGACACTTTTTCATAAAATCATAAATTTTTTACCATTATGTATTATTTCTCAGAAATCACTGGTCCGAGTTATTTTTTTATTCTATTCAGAAAAGTAAATTATGATTGTTTGTTTAAAGAAATTGTAATTTTATTATAAATTACAAACAATTAAAAAAATCTTATTGTTAGAAAAATTTGACTTCATTCAAATTATAATAAAAATTCCAAAAGAATTTATTCGGGAAAAAGTATCGATCAAAATATAGGAATGTAAAAATAGATAATTTTATATATGATGTGTGATTTCATAACTGCATTTTCTCTCTTGAAATAGGTGAGAATTTCCAAAAGTAATAAAAAATCAATAAATGCTATACATATATATATATATGTATATACATATACAGAGTTATTGTATGTTATGGGAAAAAGATAATGGAAAGAATGCGGGCCATTAGGGAAGAGCAAAAGTAGATAATATTGATTATATATGATTATATATATATATATATATATATATATATATAATCTTTTGACTATTAAAAATGTATATTGGAGCTTTGATATAAACACAAAAACATGCATAGAAAATATTTAATAATTGAGTTAATTGATTTTAAATAGAGAAATTCAAATTAGAGATAGCTCGGAAATGCAAGTCTACTTTTGCTCTTCTCTAATGACCCGCATTCTTTCCATTATCTTTTTCTCATAACATACAATAACTCTGAATATATACATGCATACGAGTTAACGTTTTAATTGTTCTCGATATAATAAAGATCTTCGCGAGATACTAGATGGAAATCTTATTTACTCATGCGTTAAAAAACGCTATACAAAATGAAGATGATGACGACGACGACGAAGCATATTTGGATTCTCGATCCTATTTACATCGACCGCACGAAACAATGGAGGAATTCGCGTCCTTGGACACGAGATAATGGAGTCCTGCGGTGTACGATTACGTTATATCCGTTTCGCGTGGAAACACTGAATGGCGTGAATCGTATTTTCTCCACGCTGCCAATTAGCAGCGTGTCTCGTGGAATAACCGTCACAGAGAAAACATACAGAAAACGCCGGCGAAATCACGCTCGCGCGGAATGTTTTAACGCGGCGACATGAAGAGACGGCATCGTATGTACACGTGTTTGTTGAGGTAAGAGTCATTATTGATTATTTGCGTCGATGCTTGTGTCGTTTCTGCAAACGCGGCAAATTACTCACGTTTGTTAACACCTGTGCCGCCAAAGACGATTGTATCATAATTACGCCTGTCGCAAAGCTATAATCAATATATTATAGATTTCATGTCCTTACATCTTTTAAAATCCCGAATGATATCGAACACAATTCTATCTTTATTATCACGAATATTCTCAAGTATATTTTTAAGAGAGAAAGTGAAAAAAAATTTTAATATCTACATCGCGAAGTAATATCTGCAAGTCTATTCCGTAACTTTCAACGCATGCGTGTTATAATTGTAACGCATTTTTTTAAATAAGTATGAGGTCTATTCCGTAATTTTTAATGCATGCGTAATTATAAAAGTTACAGAGTGGGCTTTAGGCAATTGGAATATTTTAAAATAATTAAGAACTCGGAAATTAAATTCTCATTAATTCGAATAAAATAATAAAATCACAGTAAATTGACCGAATACATATTGCATTAAATTTTGATACGTATACAAAGATTTTTAATACCCATTAATGCATCCAATTGAAATTGTTATTAATTAATATTTAAAAGATCGTTCTTTAAAAATATTATTTTATAGTAGAATTTGTGAATTTTGTTACTATTTATCTTATTATTGCATCATTAAAATATTAAAATCAATAATCTCATTATTATATCATTAAAACAGGAATGAAAAATCAATAATATTAAATTTAAATATTTAAATTGCAACTGCTAACTAGAAATTTTTAAAATAAAGTACCATTTACAGAAAAAAATTGAGCTGAAAAGGAGAAAAGAACTTAAAGGTCTTTCCTGTTCTTTGATTCGATTCAAGTTTTACAAAGGGTCACTTATCGGAAATGGAAGACCATAAAAAAATAATACAATACCATTGTAAAGTAGACAGAACTAAAAAACGTCTTTTAAAAAGCGATCTTTAAATATTCACAAAGAATTTTAGGTCGGCGAGATATTCTCGATAGGGGTTAGAATGTAAGGATACTCCCCCGGGAATCACTTTGCGCGATCAAGCAACCTTCGACGCGCGTTACGTAAGCGAGATGCGACGCTTACGTGCGCGAAAACCTGTTGTCGAACGCGCGTTCAGGGAAAAACATTGCACGTGTGTGTTGCCTTTCTAGAAAACGCGGCCACAACGCAGCGTACCACCGAGAAATTCGCGTTTTACAATGTAAGCGCGACGACGAGGAATTATCCCGCGGAACGAGCGGCTTGTACCGCACGTAATCTTATGGTGATAAATCTCGATTTCTCCGAAATAAATAGCAGGTTAGGTTAGGAAAGACTCTAATCCTAACAACATTCCGAGTTTAATCCTCGATCTGAATTACGGTATTAAGCCGCGAATAAATGACATGATAAAGGGAATGTCTTTGACTTTAAGTATACAAGGCTTACGAAGATTTACGCTGGACTTACCTTGTTAGAATATTATATCTTCAGAAATCTAATGATTATTCTGTTATATATTATATTGCATTCAAGTTTTTTTTCTTTGAGCTCGATACATATATTTTTGTAATCGTATTGTCCGAGAGAAAAAGAAAGAGAGAGTGAGAGATACATAAATATTATCACGAGTACGAAGATAGATAAACGTATACCAGTAAGAATGTATACATTAACATTAAAAGTGATTTGATCGCAAAAACAAGTAACCTTCGATTTATTTACGTTTGTAAAACGATGAAGTAAAGAGAGCCAACGATTCTATCGCGATGCTTTACATCGCGTCGCGAACTCGTGTCACATACGAGCGTACATTTTCTTCGAATACAATCCTGCGTTATGGCCGAGTACTTGAAAGAGTACATCAAGGATCGCCCGCAGTGCGCGCGCTCAAAATCAATTTCGTCGCGCCGTCGTGCACGGACGTCGGCTCGATAAGAGCCACAGGCCGACAGTCGTTCTCGCGGAGTGCATGACAGCTGTGAGAGACGCGCTCTTGTCCGTGCACGGCGACAACGTCGAGGAATCAACGGTAACAATTACTAGGTACTCACCAGAAATGATGGAAAATCGATCGTGTCTCGGAGAAGTTTGGAAGGGTTGACACGGTAGAAGGCACCTCTCCTCCGCTGTTTGATTCCTCCCTCACGTGAGAAGAGACTCTGGGCTCCTTTAAGTCCGGCGACACTTTATCTCGAGTGGCTGGTGAACACAATACACAGATACCGCAGGCACTTTATCACGAGCGACGGATGACACCTCGATCTGCGGCGAATCGTGATGTGATATGATGCGATGTGATGCGCGCGCGCTTGCGTTTGACGTTACTGAAACGAAATGGAAAACGTGAGATGCCGGGACGACGACGCCGCGAATCGGCGAACGAGCGACGGACAACACGTCCTATCGCACTGAACTCGCGCTCGCGACTGAGTGCACGCGACGCGATTCGGGAGATGTCGACGGCAACGCCGCTCGCGGAAGCCGACCGAAGCTCGCGCGCCGCTACAAACGTCAAATTTCGATCGGCGCGTGCTCGCTACGCGCGGACGAGCGCGGAGTAGTACGAGTACTGCGAGTGTGAACGTTTCACTTGAAAAAAAAAGAAGAAAAACATACAGCGGAATCGCGCGTGGAACTTTTCTATTTCGCATCTCTTTCTCTTTTTCTTCCCCTCTCTCCCCCTATTTCTCTCTCGCAATATATGCACGTACAACCCTCTTACACGACGGTCCATATCGTTATCTCAATGAGAATTCCTCGTAGTATCATTTTCAGACATGCACGCGAGAAGGGCCGCTGAAAAATACAGTAATATAGCTGTTTGCCGCGCGCCTACGAGCTTTGAGATTTGATACTTTCCGAGAATTGCAGAGAGCGGTATACTATGTGCACGCGTTGCGAGCTTGTCATGGAACGAAGGTAAACTTCTTCGAGAATGAAGAATGTTAAAATGACAAAAATCGTCGTGAATGGCAGTACGAGGAAATTTCATTAAAATGGTAATATAAATAATATGCAATAAATGTCTAACTTGATCAAAATATAGTATAATATGTAAAGAGAAACATGTTGACTTTACGTTCTATATATTTTGACAACCTATGTTTATTGGTCACATAGTATGTATTAAATATTTTTTAATATTTCAAAGAAAATGTTTTAAAATAAAAAAATTTAGAAGATTGGTTTCATATACATATGAGAATGTTGGAAATTATAACACAAATTTAAACATATATATCCGTGTCTTATTAATATTAAAATAATATATTCTATGATTGAGAGAGAGCGGGGGGAGGGGAGAGAATGAGAGAAAGAGTATAGAATTAAAATTTCAAAAAAGCAAAAGCATTATATATAATAAAATAACACACATTAATTTTTGCTGTAGATTCAGATCATAAAATAAGTACATATGAATGTGTATATATACATATATACGCATCAAAGTAATAAAATCGTTCTTTGCTCTTTTAAGAAAGAACGCAAAAATCATTGAATATTGTTAAATAAAAAAATTCTACGCGAAAGTCTCCATAAACTTATAATTGTTCTAATGAAGCAATAGTTTCAAATAAGTCTTTATTAATGCGTGTTAATAAAAAGATTTTGCATCGATGTGTAAATGATGCAAGGCATCTTTCAATTCAAGCATCGAATTTACATTAGACCTAAATACATATTCATGTTTTAATTTAAATAAATATCGTATTCCATAGTTTTTTTTAATATTTTTGATGCTGCATGCATCAAAAATATCGTAATATACCTTAATGTAATTTTAGCATATCAAAAATGTTATTAAATAGAGTGTAAGAGTTATTAATTAGCGCGTATATATTAATTAGTTATTAATTAGCGCGTATATATTTAAATAAAATTAATTTTTATATTTTAGAAAAATAATACAAAAAATAACAGAAAAATAATATTTATTTTACTACTGGAGAGTATGTGATTATTAATAATATACGTATAAGAAAATATATTTTCATTTAAATGTTATTAAAACATTTTTTTAATGAAATAAAATTCTAAGAATTACTTAAAAAATATTCTTATGTCCTAAAAAATTCTTTTAATATATTTATACTGAAAATATACAATAATCAAGTTAAGTAATTTATATCATTTATATCATTTATTACCACATACGATATACTTCTGTATACAATAATAAAAAGATATATATATATATATATATATATATATATATATATATATATATATACTTTGAAGAAGAGTTAAATACGATATGTCATTTTGATGGCAAACATAAATATGTATTGTAAGCAGTGGAAAAATACTGATATCATCGCTGATTGATCAGGCGATTATGACGATCGACTACAAAATCGTTTTGGCTAACGAGAGTATCGGCGGACTGCCAATTTCGGATATTAAATGTCAATGATCGTAAGAGACAAAGCCCGGCGCTTAATTTCATCCCGGCATCGCGTCGTATCCTTAACTGTAAATGGACCGAGAAGAACTCGAAGTCGGCGAAGACGACGTTGAAGAAAGTATCGGGCAAGAAACGAACGCTCGTATAATCCGCATTTCCGACGTTCTGCACCGGTACCATTACCATTACCATTCCAAGGTATGGCTGTCCCTCCTCTCCCCTCCCACTTCACCCACCGTCATTCTCGCCCATCTTTCTGTCCACGGCAGCTGGTAAACCGTATTTCCAAGTCAACCAAGTAAATCAACAATCGATCGTCTCCGGATAATCAGGTATCTTTTTCCTGTCTCTGTTGCTTATCTTTCTTTTCGTTTTAAAAAGACCAATTTTGAGTGATTCACGTGATTCAATAATATTATTCCGTAACGAAAATAATATAAAAGAATATTTAAAAAATGTAAAAAAAATTATTAATTTTATTTTTACGCACAAATATATTTATAAAACAAATATTTTATAATCTAAAATATTGGCGATAATATACTCTTCTAATGTCGATAATTAATATAAAAGAAATATAAATTATCTAAACTAGAAGAATAATTGTTTGAAATTTTTAACACGATAAATTAAAACTAATTCTTATCTAACTTTTTCGTGTTAAAATAAAACAGAAAATAGAGATTTGTATATTCGAACACAAGTATTATTTTAATTTTGAATTTATTTTAATTTTAAATTTATTTTAATTTAAAATAAAAAAACTAAAACAAAATTATAAAAATTATGTAAGAAAATTACAGTGAGAATAGCTGTAATACTCCGTTATTTTTTACTGAAAACATTCTTTTCGAGAGGCACGTCACGTTTAAAAGATCCTCGAATTTTATGATGTTCGGCGAAAGATGAGAATCGTTTGGTGAAATGCACACCATAAAAGCAAGTCGATAATACCAATTGCTGTATAAGCAATTGTATCAAGAACCATGGCTTTTTCATCGTAGTGCTTTAATTTCATAACTGTGCATCCGAAACCGCTTTTTGACAATCATTCGTTTGCAAAAACATTAAGCCATTAAACTTGTTAATCATAAAATTGCAAAAAATATATATTCATAAATCTATATTAAGTAAATCTATATTAAAAGTATCGTATTTTTATTTTATATAATTTAATTTTACAGAGAATTTTGTTTTTTATATACATACTTGTACATAAATCGATTTGTATTTCGAGATAATTCTTGTAATTTTGTATGACTTAAAAGTAATAAATAGCATATATGTTATTTTTTCGTGCAAAATTTAAAATTTTTCCTTATTAATGGAATATGAGAAAAAAATAATTTTGTATTTTATTATTTGCAAAGACATGATTGTTAAAATACAGTTTTCAGCAATTATTATAGTATATTTATTTGGCAAATAAAATAACAGCAGATGATATCAGTATTGTATGACACGTACAAAAATAATAATAAAATTCATTCAAATGTGTATCTTAAATTGTCGGCATCTATTTAAAAAAAAAAATATATATATATATTTTAATATGTGACTTATTAAGCATTTTACATGCCTTTTATATTATGATGCATATTATTTAATTATTCTCTTATTTTAATTAAAATATAATTATGTAATATATACATATAATAAACTAAATATTTATTTAAATTCGACAAAAATATTCAATAAATATTCAAACATTATTTAATAAATATTTGATAAATATTTTACTGTATAAAAATTATTAAATGTTTTATTAAACATATTTTATATATACATATATATATATATATGAACAATATCTTAATTGTCATTCTCTCTGTATGTATATTATATTTTGAGATAAAATACACATTTAAATAATGAATAAATTTGTTGCTAGGCAACTGGAATAGTGCAGTTTATTGTACCTATGGCACATCCGCCGGAAATTGCCTCGCATCAGCGACGAAGATCGGAAACGCGCACTTGTCGGACGAGCTTTGAAAGTTGATTTGCAGGAAGTTTTTCCTTTCGGAGAAACGCGAATTCATGTCGCGAGACGCAAACACATGTTAAAACACACTTCGTGTGCTCGTAATAAATGGCAGAATATTATCACTTTACACTTTCCACATAATGAACGAACGTGACGAGCAACGACTTGTTTGACGGTCGCACAGAGGTCGTCGCGTACGTCGTTACGCACGGCCTACGTGTATCTAGCAAAAACAAGCGTATTTCGCTCGATATTACTTTCTATTTCAATTTACAACACGCTAATGAAACTAATACACGCGAGTTTCACGAAGAAACACAGAGATCACCTTCGCGTATCCGAAAACGTCGCAATCTATAGTCACTTGAAACTGCCGATTTCAAATCGTGGTACGCAGCGCGGATCGCGATCGACGAAACGCCATTAATAGCGAAGATTCATGGCACTTGATGCATTCTGACGGTCGCTCGTCACTTTAATCGGCACTCCCGACAGAAATTTGCGCTCGTTATACACTTGTAACGGGTAAAATTCGCGATTATTGACGGAGCTATCGCGCTCCGTGCGCGAACCGGCACGACTCGTCGAAACTGTCATGGCGGCCGAATGGACATGCGCGGGGTTGAAAATTCCGCTGCGCCGAAAAACTTCGCGACAAAAATCATCTGAGGAATCGCGATGAGAGTGAAACGCACCTTCTTGTCAATGCCTACGACTAACGGCGTTTTATATTCGACATTTTTCACAAAGATTTAAACGGATACACGGAAATATGTATGTAAGAAACTTGAGAAAGACGCGTTATCTACGTACATACAAATTTGAAATTGGCGCGTACATTTTATTTTATTTGAATAATCGTAACACAAGTACGATAGAATATAAATTTAAATTATACAAATATATAAAAAAAATGATATAAGTATATAATAGTGAGAGAAATGGTCATCTTACTTAACATATTCATTTCAAATTTTTTTTATAAAAATATTTATCTTAATTTTCAAGTTAATATTATCCTCGATATAAATAATAAATGTCTATCATCCCGTCTTCTGTCTCTCTCTTTCTCCTCTCTCCCATCTCTTTCTCTCCTCTCTCTATACATATATATATCTTTTCCATTAAATATTAATCTTCTCCCTGATACACAAATTAATTAATATAATTGAATATTAAATTATAAAATAACTTTAATTTTTCAAAATTATATATGTGTGAATATAAAAATACTAATAAAATTATTAAGCAGCCTCTTATCTTATTGAATAAAATTATATGTAATCGGTAAAATCATGAATATATTTCGAGTTTTATTTCTTTCGGTTTATGAATCTCTCGTGAAAATTTTATATACTAATGATAAAGAAATACGTGGCGTCATCTGATGAGAAATCAAGTCACTAATACTGGAATTATACAATACATAAATCGTAAAAACAACGTAAGAATACGTCCACAAGAAGATATTAAAATATCCACACTTAATAGATTCTCTCTATAATTAGATTCCTTCTACAAGTTACAATTTGATTCGATTCTTTCATAAACGAATAGATATATATACAATAATTACATACATGTGCAGTTGGCGGTATTCTATTGTATAATTGTGTTATCTACGCTTATTTTGACTTATTGTTTCTTATTCCGACCGCCAAGAGGACGTTAGTGCGTGGCAATTTTTTTTTAACGCGTAATCTCAGTGATCTTCGATATTGTCCCCGTCAATTGACAGTTGCACAATTCATTCTAAATATAGCCCGTAAACACGACAGACGACGTATGAGTCATTCTTATCATCGTCCCGAAAACCTGATAGCATGCATAGTATAAATTTATTTACGAGCGCAACGTTTTTATCGCATATTTTTAGCGCTTTTTTTTTACGCTAATCTTTTTTTTTTCTTTTAACCGCGTTTTATGTCGCCCGTGCGCTTCGTGGAAATTTGCGTAGAACGCGACACGCGCACGAATACAGGGCGCCTGCTCGTCACGCGGCATCATCCGCGACATGTGATCCGTTTAAAGTTACACCGTGCGTGCAATTACCGTGCGAGCGTGTCGCGTCGCAACAACTCTCATTAGTCCGCAGTCGGTTCCGGACGTCCCGTTCATCACTTGCTAGTGACCGCGGCGGGCTGTAGGTTATGTTGCCGTGTTTATAATCGCTCCGATCGAATCGATCCACGTTTCCCCCCTCGCACGCGCCATCCGTCATCGGCGGGCTTCAGGCGGAGCCTTTCGCCTGAGCGAAATATGAGAAGGATACACGTCGTGACATCGACTGGGACATCGGCCGAAAAATCCGCAGCCAAGCTATTGCGTCGCGAGCTAATTAAATAACGGCCACCAAGGTTCGCATATTTCTTCTTTTTTTCTGTCTTTTGTCTCTCTTTCGTCTCGTGCCTGAGCGATGCAGATATATTTATATTTCGTAGACGACGATCGAAAAAGAACATTTTTCGCTTCTGAGGAGGTGTAGCTCTCCTACGTATCGCGATCGATTTCATGCGTGACGCTTTTTCGTTAAAAGTGGTACCGTTGCGAAACCTTGTCCTATTTCTGTAAGCTGTGTCTGAGCGTACATATATATATAAATATTATATATATAAATATATATATATATATATATATATATGTATATAAATATACATATGTATAGTGGCGCGCGATTACTCGCGGCTGTGACATTCGCGCGTAATCGTGACCGGTTACGAATCTCCCTTGTGACCTTGTTGAATGTGTGTGTGCGTGCATTTTGTCGTGCCTCTCGTGGCTGCATCGTTTGTTTATACAGCTACAAGTGCATAACTATATAGAAAACTGTTGCTTTATTTCGAATTTTAAGACTACAAAGACGCTACAAAGATACAATTTAATTAATTTCGATTAACGTTTGATGGGTGTATATATAATGTCAAAATTTATTAGACTATAATCTGCATATATGTTAATTTTTTTAGAAAGGAAAAAAATTTAATGATTTAATGAAAATTTAGTTATCGCGAAGTGCATTCAAAATTTACTTAAAAAATATATATCTCAATAAAATGTTCAGAGAACGATTAAAAAATACAGATTATTTAATTTGTAATCAATTCATTAACTCATAAAACTAATACAATTGTAATAATACTAAATTAAGTATCCACTTGCTGTATAATAGATTGAACATCTGATATCTTACAAACGCTAATTGATGATTCATCTTTCATATATTTTTATTATTTATTGACAGAATACACCTGTGTTATGAGTGTTGGTTTATCCATGTACGATGGCTTGGAGAGTGAGAATACTCTTGATAATGGCCTTGATAGCACCGGGAATACTGCAAAGAAACTGGCTAGGGGTATCTCCCGTGCAACTGAAAATGCCGCAATTGTTTCTTATGCTCGTACGCAATTGGCAGCCTTAGAGTCTCTCGATACACCAGAATTCACATTTTCATTGCCAGATTTATCTGTGTATCCAGGTATTTTGCTATGCTTCTGTGAATGTTGCGCAGATCCTCATGATATGTGATCAGTTAATATGTATGATTGATATTTTATATTTAGATTCATTTCGCAAATTCTTGGAGAAGGATCTTTTAGAAAATGGATGTCTGAATTCCTTGGAAGCTGCAGGTCGTTTAAATTGGTGGTACAAAAGTGGAAGCACTAGAATTCTTTGGCCATTAGCAACATCTGGAGATGGCAACTGTCTGCTTCATGCCGCATCGTTGGGAATGTGGGGTTTTCATGATAGATTACTTACTTTAAGAGAAGCGTTGCATAATACTTTGACCAAAGGAGAATATAGACATGCTCTTTTCAGGTATAAAATAAAAGAAAATAATCTTAAAAATAATTGAAATAATATATGAATACACATATATTGTATATTTTTTAGACGGTGGAAATGGTGGCAAACGGGCTTAAATGCAGCTGCTGGATTATCATATACGGAAGCAGAATGGTTATCAGAGTGGCAAAGTATAGTAGATATGGCCTCTCCTACAATCAGAAACCAAACTGCTGCCTCTTATCAGAGTCTGGAAGAGGTACCGCAATATTGTCCCATTCCGTCGTTTAATAATTTATTATAAGGATGATTTTATTTTAAGAACTCTATAATCTAAGAAATCTACTTTCGTTTTAGATACACGTTTTAACTTTGGCTCATGTTTTAAGAAGACCTATAATAGTTATAGCGGAAACTATGCTGAAAGATGCTGATGGAGTAGCTTTAGCGCCAATTCCATTCGGTGGAGTGTATTTGCCTTTGGAAGTGTCGCCTTCGCTTTGTCACAGAACTCCTTTACTCTTGGCATATCATTCTGCTCATTTTTCTCCACTTGTGACTGTAGACGGTTGCAACGATTATGGCAGCGCGTGCGGTGAAGGTGTCAGTATACCACTAGTAGATCCAGACACAGGAAAATTATTGCCAGTCTTATTCGCTGTAGATCCTGGTCCTGACTGGGATTGGATAGATGGTTCACGAGAATTGTTAACTTGTACGCAGGATACTGTACGTGAATCATCGTTTATATTTATTAACAGATTGTTGGTAAAGTTATTTCTATTATTAGTAAAATAATGGATTCATTTTTATAATTTATTGCGTGCAGATGGAGATCTTGTTACGACAGTATTTGGATTGTGAATATCAAAGTTTTACATCCGAGGATATTGACAGGCTTTCTGATGCAGATGGTTCTTTATCAAAAACAGCAAAGCAACTGTTAGAGGTCGCAAAACAATTCGGTTCCATTGGTAAATCTGTCAGTAAAAAAATATTGTCTATGACCAATAAGAGACCGAAAAGCCCGCCTTCTTCGAGCGGCGGAATTTCCACAGAAGGTTTGTTATGTGTGAGAATAAAGAGCAGACGTCATCAATTTGTAGATCAAATGCTTCAGAATTATCTTCAATGTGCCCATGCAAGGTATTGCGATGTGTTATATTTACTGACTTTGTTGTATTAAAGAAAAATTACATAAGTTTACTTTATATTGTGCATAGATATTTGCAAGATCATCAGGTGGACGATACGGGCAGCGAATTGAATTATGGTGCTGGAAAGTCTAAATTTTATGCTGCCAGTGATCGCGGTAGTCATGCGAGCGTTAGCAAATTGTTACCCACTAACACAAATAAAGATCATACACTTTATCTTTCGAGGTAAGATGATTAAAAGTAAATTTCACTTAACAATCGTCAAGAAATTCCGATCCATAAATTAATATTTTTTTCATAGATCCACATTTTATAACGATCAAACTCCATCAAATAATATGGGGCCAGAGATTTGGAATAATGACAGTGACAAGTTAAAGGTATGTAAAACAATTATTAAAAGGAATAAAATTTCTTTAGTAAGATTTTACTGTTTATATAGAGCACTGTAAAAGAGTGCCGCAGCGAACACTGCCAATTCTTTGGATCGCCGGAAAATGAATATTATTGCTCGCAGTGTTGGGCTAATCGAAGTTAAACAACCGTCCTTAATCACACATGACAATAAGCTCGATTTAATATCGCTCGAATTAAGTTAATAATATAAAGCTAGAGATATAAGATATAAAGCTTATGAAAAATGTCCCACCAACCGATCATCAGTAACATTATGCTATTTGTTTATAATTTTGTTTCTTTTTTCATATTTTATTGTATTTATTAACATTTTCCATCTAAAAATTGCATATCAGATGCACAGGGTTCAAATAAATGACAATGTATTTATAGTATATATTTCATCGCATTTTTAAGTGATGAAAAATTTATAAACTTAGCATTCAGATGAACAAAAATTTTTTTTTGTTTTTTAAACAATTTCAATGTTGTGCCTTCTGTCATGTATGCGCGGATGAAAGATGGAAATACTTCTTTATACCGTGATAAAAATCTACACTCTCAACTACCTCCACAGTTTTTGATTATAGAGAATGTGATTGGTATATATAATTATTAGTTCTTTCTAATTATTTGTGGATTCCAAAGGTTGATGTGGAAATATTATATTTATAATCTCATTGTCTTGTGCAATTGCTGTGTATGTAAGCTGTGTGAAAAATAAATCATATTTTTATATGTACCAAGTCATTATTTCCCATATAGAAAAAAAAATGTCAGTTGTTAAGAAGATAACAAGCCCAATATTTTGTCATAATAAAATGTATTTACATATATTTCCTTGCATTAGCCTATCATCATGTGAAAAAGGTCATAATTAATTGTAAACGATTAATATTACCTGACACATTACCTATCTACCTACACTTACATTCACTAAAATATCGCCAAAGTATGTGTGGTAGTATAATGTCAATTTTATTAATAATTATAATATGAAACAAAGAATTTTTTCTCTGTTGGTATATATGTACAAAAAAAAGAGAAAAAAGTTCTTCAATATATAAATTATGTTAATATCTTCAGAATTTTTTTGCATATTTTTTGTTATTAAATAGTTGGAAAAAATGAAATGAGAAAAAAGATATTACAATATATTGAAGGAACTATATATAGGGAGAATATTTCTTTTTCTATATTAACTATGATACTACTACAAGCGTAGAGTATATGTTTTAGACGCTATAGTGAAATTTAAATGTCCGTTTTTTATTTTATCGTTTAAACATTTCAACATCCCATGTCTTGGTCTTTCAATGAAATAAATGGCTAATAAAGAAATAAGTAAAAGAATACCACTTATATATTTCGTGTCTTTAAAATTGAGTTTCATGTACTATTTACAATTTCAAAGTTATGCACAGATACACTACCACAGAATTGATTAGCTGTATCCGATGTATCCTTCTTACTTAAATGATAAGCTCTTGTTTAATCAAATTTCATCTGGAAAGCTTTATCTTCTCGTGAAAAATCATATTTAATTCGAAGAGATCTTAAAAAAAAATCATAAGCTAAAATAACTTTGTGGCTGTAACATTATACGCATATAAGTTTTATCAGAAGTTATTTTCTCAAGAGACTCTTATAATCTTGTTCACAAGTAAGATTTTTATAACAAAGAGAGTTATCCGTTCCTAACGCTATGATTAGGTTTGTTGTTAACAAACTGTCTTGCGAAATAATTAATTAATTATTAATTTCGTTTTGTAATTATAATCAAATCTACAAGGCAAAAATATTGAAACAGTTACAGCGCCGCTCAATATATGTATGTATGTTCATATACAAATAATTATAATTAATTATTAATATCAATCTATCAATAATATAAATCCTAGAAAATGTATGAGAGAGAAGCGAAATTTATTATCAACAACTTTTAACAGGTCTTTTCTTCGGCAGCTCATTTTTTTCTCTTATTCCTATATTAAATTCTTTTCTCTCTCGACAAGTTTCGGTATGTTTACGTTAAATATAAATAATTATCCAAAACAAAACGCAAGTTTTTGTTACTCAATGCAAATTTTGGGTGTAAATATTATGTTTAGGATCAATTGATGTACCATTTACAACCTTGAACATGACGTGAACTAGATGTCCAATATAAAGTCGAATGTGTACTTACAGTACTTACAATATGATCATTTTTATTATCGAACGTTTTTTCACAAGATAAATCAATTGATCCACTTTCTATTTGAAAGATTCAAGTGCCAGCCACAACATAACAAGCAAAAAGTGCTCTTATATATTCATAGTACTTATATCCATACTGTAGCACATATTGCTTAAGTTAAAGAGCTTGTAAACACGGGATTCTCTATATATAATTTCATACAACTATTAATAACACTCTAATTTTTCTTTTAACCCTCGCTCAGTCAATTTTTTACTTGTGATTACTCTGTTAATTTTTTTTCTGAATTAATTTCTTAAAAGAGGAAAGGAGATTATTTATGTAGCATCTAAAAAATGTATGATTTGTAACATATGATATGTACATTGTATGTATAATTATGTATACGCATACAATATATACACATACAATATGATTAATTGGAATTTTTTAGATATACCATAATAAAAACACAAATAAAAACTTATATAAATGACCGAATGTTCACTATACATCTAATTAATATTTCGATAATACGAGGGTTAAGGAATATTATCTTTCATAAACCATCAACAAATAATCCATATTACTTCATACAATAAAAATTAAAAATTGTGAAAGCATGTGGTACATAGACGAATATGATTATTTCATTTTTTTTTACTTTTAACAAAAGCTTATGATAGACTAGTGGAATTGACTTGTTTTATGGAAATATATGATAATTGAAGATGGCTTAAGAGAGACACATAAATTCTTATTTAAATCGTTCTCGGAGTGTTTAGTTCTCTTGTGCCAAGAGAATGTTTACTTGAATTTTTGTAACGCATCCTGAAAAAAGAAAAATAAAGAGAGAAATCATCCGGTTTAGAAGCTCGTTAATTTATTAATCTATACAGAACTGATATATATATATATATATAATAATAATAATTAGCGGTTCGGTTTTTTTATGGTATTAATATTATTTAAGAAATGGATCACGATTCTCCGTTGCCACTATCGTCGCCGTCCTCGTAATCGGTCGCGCTAAGTTGCTCATCTTCGTCGTCATCTAGCTCGTATTCGTCATCATAAAAATCTGTCATGTCTAACTGTTGCTCGGCTGGCCTCGCTCGAGTCTTTATGCAGTAATCTTCCAGAGTCACGGGTACGACGATACCTTCCTTTTCAGCTTCCATCTTGGCAGCTTGGGCTTGTTTCCTATATAAATAGAAAATATGCACAAAATATATATTGACAAAATACCTACCTAGCTCGTTGTGGCCAATGTTCGCAAGACGTTTTCTTAACGAGAATTTAAAAATTATAGAAGATATAGACTCAACTTATTTAGAATTTTTGAATTGGAAAAAATGTTTCCCAATATATTTCTCCAGAAATAATACATATAATTAGAAACAAAATTTTTTACGTTTTTTAAAGTTTTTTCAGATTTAAAATTTCCTAGATACTACATTTCCCAGATCGAGCTCGCTGTCACTTGTATATTTTTACATTTATATGAGACTGAGTACAAATATATACATTTTTAGCAATACGCAACTTTAATTATACATATTTATGTATAATTATATATTTGAATAATTTATGTATGATTTAATGATAGAAAAAAAGCAAACCTCAGCGTATCGTTTATAATGCAAATTATCATATTAAAATTATATTATCATTCTCTTGATATACTCGTATAGTTAAGCATAAATAATAATTTTTCTAGATAAATTCTTATGATTGGTTTAGTATTTAAATGTGTACATATTTACTGGTAATCTTGCGCTTTCGCAGCTATCTGTCGTATATGGCTTTTAGCTACTCCAATTTGACGATAATTATATTATAATTCCAACGAACAAGTTCTCCGCGACTGCACGACGTCACTACATGACGCGACGATATTATTGACGATGTCTTACCTTATGATATTTTCATATTCTTTGTCTCTTCCTTTGGAATCACGCCAACGTCTATACATGATGGATGCGTCCACGTTGGCAGGACTATATGTGTTGGGTTCGTTCAGCAACGAGATCACCGATAGCAGGATAGTTCTAGCACAAAAATTGATTAATCACCTTAAGAATCTCGAAGACTATAGCTCTTAGACAATTGTTATTTTCTTTTTGTTTTGGGATACTATACCTACCTGACATTTTGCGTCGGATTCCACCTCTCGCAAGGCAGCTCGCCGCTTTGTGGATCATCTACGGGTGGATGCAGGATTGATATGCACAAATCACCATTCTGCACAAAGAAAGAAACATTCTCAGACTTGTGTCGATTTTTTAAACATTTTTATCGCACATTCATTTTCGCGACTAATATTGTATTGGACGCTTTGTTTTGTTACGCGATGAATCGAAATTCAAGCGTGTTATTTTCAGAAGTTTTGCTCATCGCATTGTGCGCTTGTTTACTCTTGCTGGATTTATATGTACTGAACAACTATTTGCTGTTTAAAATCTAATAGTATCAAAGGAGACGCGCATTATTTAAAAAAAAAGAAGATATATATTATTAAAAAATTTTACTTTCTATTAAAAGATATTAAATTTATTCTTTTTAGAAGATAGAGAGAAAAATTAAAAAGAATTGCAAAAAACCGTATAAAACACGCCAACCTCAGTACTTGTGGTTCCGCGTTCGTTACCTTTGAAAAGATATCACGTCACTCGAAGGACATGATACCTTTTCGATCGTACTTATAGAAAAACCACCGAGAACACCGCGATTCACGCGCTCTACGCTATACTTGAAGACGAGAAACTTTCGACATGATTTTTGAAGCTGAGATTCTATCTGTTAACGCACAACGTCTTATATATATATATATATATATATATATATATATATATATATATAAAACTATTACAAGAAAAGAAACGTGACTTTGTCACACATGTAAATGACGTAAAAAAAAAAAAAAAAATTGCGAGGTTTCGTCGCACACGTTTCCTCATAAGATCGCCTCTATCTCTCCTGAAGACGCGAAGACGCTCAGCAAGTAGGACAAGGCGTCGTGGTTTCACCGTGGCTCGGCGCTCCAAACACCTCGGTAATAAACCGCGAAGGCGAAGGCGAGCTCCTCGAGTAAACGCCCGGCACTTGACACGACCGACAGAGATAGGCATCGGCTGTTCCCGCACGCATTTGTATGTAAGAATGGCCGACTCACATAAGATCGCGCTTATTACAATCGGTAAAGTTCCAAAATCGAAAGATTTTTTCTTGATATTATTTTCTCCTTTCGCGTGGATAGTTTGAAAAAAAAATAAAATTGGCTTTATATTTATGATTTTCTGCATTTAAACTTTTTATCTTTGCAATTTTCTATTTGTATCTATATTTATAATTATAACTTTAAATCGCTGTTTGTAAAGATTCGATATAAAATCATTTTATATACAGTCTATACATACGAAGCTAAATTAAACAATGTCTTTGTATCTTTTATTCTTTGTCTATCGCGTGCGATAATCTATAGCTATCCTTACTGTACATCACCGACAATTGTTTACGCGGTTTAGACCGAGGAAGATTCGCGTAATGTGGCAGTACTCACGTACATACGTAAGTAATATGAATTTCACGACGGGGAAAGTTGGCCTGCAAGAAGAGCGAATTGTACACGTGTTAAAGCGTATATATCGTATATACCGGGTAACGTTTCTACAACGATCTGCTTCGATTGCGAAACCACTACATATTGGAGTAGATATCGTTTCCTCGAGAATTTGCGCAATATACAGTAGATTGTCATCGAAATAAAATTTTGCGCGATGGAAAAAAAACGAGATGCAAACGCGGATTTAATTTTCTTTGTATAATTGAAAGAGAGAGAGAGTTTTTTTACAGTCTGTCCCGTTTGATCGCTGCATTTTCACTCCGTAATTAATCCGGCCTTATTATTATCATATTTAATGTATAAAGAACGGAAATGATGTACAGAGTGTACCAATTTGTTCCACTTCATTTTGAATCTAAATATGTATTGAAATACGAATATTAAACATAGACATTCTAGCGTCTTGAATACAATGGAAATAAAATCTAATTTTAGTGCTCGCAATACATAATTATAATTGTGAAAGAATAAGCTGTTTAGCTTATCAATCGATTAGCAAACAGGTCAATCATTTCGGGCTTTCAAACCGAGATATGAGAAAGTTGATACTAACGTAACACGCACGAAGCACATGTCAAAATATAAGAATTCAGGAAAAAAATGCAATTTAATAATTAAAGTATTTTATACCAATAATGATCCTATAAATATTTAATTTCGCATTTGTGTTTCTATTTTCCTGATATATACATCATCTATTTTATTTCGTACGCAACTAGGGGGGGAAAATAATTTATCCGTAAACTCTAATATCTTCTCTTGGATAGGCCAGACTTAAAAATAAAAAAAAAAGGTGCCTCGCGTTTGCCTCGTTACTTGTAACACGTTCTCGTTGTTGCTATCCCTATCGTCGACGGGCGAGTGGACACGGATGTCCACACGGGCTTTCGACGGTCATTGACTTCGCTTCGCTAGCCTCCGAAGGGTCATATACGGCGAACGGCGAGCAGGAGATGCGACAAACGCAGAGCGAGCGAGGTCGATAAGCATGGGAGAATACGATACTTTTGTGCAAACGCGAATGCTATCACCCGCTAATACGTAAGAAAAACGCGGAAATGAATTTACATTTTTATTCGAGGATCGGTTCGATCTCTCGAAGGAGAAATTTCCCTTTCCTTCGCTCGCGAAATTTTGACACTTCAATCATATTCGTGAAGCAAGTTACTTTCTTCACGATTACGTAGCGATTCCGGTTTCGACGAGACTCTCACAAGTGAAACGTCGAAATATATATTTCTACCTTGTAATTAATATTTTATTTTACAAATAACACAAGCCGATGGGAAAGTAAACGATGGCGAGGTTCAAACGAGTAGTACTACTACTTGCGCGTAGCAAACGATCATCGTGCTTCGAGCCTTTTAAAGTGGCAGCAACACGAAGATCGCTTCCTCGAGAGGAGCTCTCGCGAGAATCATCAGCGGCCGCGCTTCTTCCTCGTTAATCATCGCGCGAATTCGCGTGTCGGCGGATGTGGCGAAATAACGGGAGTCGTCCGCGCGCGCGGGAGATTTTACAAGCGTGCGTCGAACATCGCGCGTGACGATGCGAGTCCGCGAGTAAATATAGTATACGGCGGCCGGACGTTCCGAGAACGCGGTGGCGGTGATACGTCAATATAAATGCAACCTCGAACGAGAACCTAGTACGCAACGCGCAATTTTTCGAGTCGACTGTTTTTACTTTCTTTTTTTTACGCTCCGGCCTTCCCTCCCGCCCTCCGGCTCGTTGCGTTTCGATGAGAGGCGATCGGCCGGAGGGGGTTCGGACGACCCGGATGGTTTCACAAGCGCTGAAAGTGACGATGTAAAAGCTGATGGTTGTAAAAGCTATGGCGGCGGAGGGTGGAAGATAAAGAGAGGCGGACACAGACAGAGCGGGACGGCCGTTATACGGTGCGGCGAGGGGTGAGAGACGGGATGAACGGAAAAGGGACGCAAGGGAGACGGGAAGGACACGCACGTATACGCCACGGCGAGGAAAGGGTCGAAACGGGGCAGGGGGGAAGAGAGGCATGCGGGGGATCGATAATTCCCGTATATATTCACTCACCTCATATACATTCGGGTGCCAAACTTTTGTCATGAAACGAATGCTCGGTGGACTGTACGGATAATCCGGCGGGAACTTCATGTGTGCCTGCAACATAAAGAAAATTGACCGCGGTCAATCATACATCGACTCGAGATATTCACGCTCGCTCGACTCGGCGTCGATACGCCTACGCATCTTTATCCCGGGGATTGGAACCGTTATAATTTCGTTTTTCGAGTTCAATATCCGCGACACGTGCGAAAAAGAGGAACGTACCCTACGTCCAGTCGTTTGTCATGTATCAACGTGGGAAACGGTTTCGACCTCAAAATTCGTACCCGACGAAATTATACCGATTTTAATACCTGCCTATACGAGTCTTCAAAAAAACTGGTTCCTTTTCATCGAGAAAGCTCACGCGCTCTTGGTACGATTTCAAATAAACTCTCTTGGTCGGAGATAAAATGCAAAGTTGAAAATTGCGACGGGCAATGTTCCCTTCTTCCTCGCGTCTCGCCAACGAGAAATGTTTGATGTAAGAGAAAAAAACCGATCGAATTAATGCGGTAGAAGCGAAGCGTTCCGTATAATCCACGAATAAAGACATCGGACTCTCTTTTCTCCGATGCTGCGAAAGTGGAGCAACATGGCCGTCCAGCGTAGCCGAGATAACAAGGCGAGAGATGTAAAAGAGACGATCGGAAGGCGAGCGCGACGTGGATGAGATTCGACATTTCGATCGGATTGAGAATCTCCGAGGTGGTCGCTCGACGATATCGATTTCCATTCCGGAGCGCGAAAAGGGCGATTGGTTGTTCGATGCAGGCTTCGTCGTCGGGACGCTATATTGATCGCGACCTGGTCATGGCCCAAATATCCACCTCGTCCTCCGGGATAACCGCGTTCTAGAATTAACCTACTTTCTACTGTGACTACACGCTTACGGTGTCACGAAAATTCTAGTCGGAAACGCGGCTTGCGTTTGGTCCACGTATATTTGCCAGCTGACACATCGCTCTGAAAATTTTCTTACACACAGGTGATCTTCCTCGACTTTTCTCATCCAAATAGAACGGAACTGGCGGCTTGTTGTTTGGAAAGATTTTTTTTCCATAATATTTGATATAACTTTTGCTACGATTTTTTTCAATTAAATTATTATGTATTGTAATAATTTCTGTTCGCCGATATTTGAATTCCTTTGTACGGAGTGTGAAGTAATGTAAACACCGAGTTTTTCGATGCGATATCGATCATGATTATCGGCGTGCGATCTTGCATGACATTGTCAGGGGAAATATTCCGAGAATTGTCCATAATGCGGATTTCCTATTTTTACCGCATAGAGATTTCATATGTCAATAGAGATTTCATATTTTACACGTGTATTGCATCTGTAAAATTAATATATATCTATAAATTTGATATGTATAAAAGTCGCTTTTTTACGCAAGGCAGAGTAAGATTTTGAAGAATTTTTACAGATTGCTCCGATATGAAACTATCATTTTGTCGTCTTTCGTCGCAACTCCACCGTGTGACCTACAAATTTTCGCGACCTACTTCGACAATAAGCACCGCTGGTCATCGTAACGCGACGTTGTGTAACATGAGGTAGATGGCGACTTTTGAAACTATCGAATCGAGTCACGCCTGATCAATTTGATCGAGCGTTTTTCAAACAAGACTGCTATTTGCTCAAAAGTTACTTTACGAGATTTAATTTAGGAATAACATCGAAAGACGCAAAAAATATAAATGATTTCTAGCAATAGGAAAAGTTTATGAAGCACATCGAAGCGTATGAAAATCATCGTTCAATTTCATTTACTCATTAAGTCTATATATATTTCCATGCGCTAATAACTATGGTAATTTAAATTCTTCTAACTCTATTCATTTCAATCACGGACAGAATTATGTTATTATTACATCTTACATATATCTAAACTGTAATTATCTATATCTAAACTGTAATTTGTAAAGATTTCTTTCGATCATTTTACGTCATAATTTATGAAGAACAAAAAAAAGACGAAATTAACTTTTTTGTAACAATTCAACACATGTAAGATATACAGAATGAATCAGGAAACAAAGTTTCAAAGTGAAAAAAAATATCTCTTACAAAAATAGATTAAAAATATAGAATAAAAATTTTTTATGTGAGAAAAAAAGATAGAGAAAAAAATAAACTTTGTCTTCGAATTTAAATCGATTAAAACTTGAAAAATTAATAGCGCGTAATTAATATGTATTTATACGCTTTTTAAGCTTGAATAATTTTTAATAATATCATATATTATCAGATTTGTCTCTACAATATAATTATTGATAGATAAATATATAAATTCAATATTTAATAAAACGATTTTAAATATTAAAACTAATAACTGTTAAAATGTTGCAAAAAATGTAAATGTAAAAAATAAAATATGTAAAAAAATTAAGATAAATTTTACTTTTCCAATAATGAAAATCTTTTTATACATATTTTAATAACGACTGTGAAATAAATTTGACAACATACATAATATAAGATCGTTAGAAATCGTTCGATTTAAAAGAGCATAAATATGTTACTAATCTTTCAATTTTTAAAATCAATTTTTTCAAAAATTTTCTCGTTTTCGACATTTTCGAATTTATTACTTTAGTTATTGATTCATTCCATAAATAAATATTTTCTATCGAAATTACAGGACCGAATAAGTCGACATTACGCTTCTTCTTATAATTTTTGTATCGACTTTCGATTTAGCAGTTGTATAATCGCGAAAATTCCCGATACTCGCGGGACGCCCGCCATATCTTCGCCAAGTGAAAGGATAAAATCCGATCGAGAGAGAGACTTGTGGAAAAATGACACGACAAAGTCTCAGCGTCTCCAGTGATTCCAGATCAACTTTTCGTGCAGCGACGAGACGGATCAGCGCACATTCATCTTAAAACGGAATGAGATTAGGTGAAAGTCGGTTGGCCGTGCCGTAGCGATCGGTAGGGCTTGCTTGCACCCAGGAATAGAATCGAGACAACGCTCGATGGCATTTTATGTAACTTGGCAAGCCGCGCGTTGCGCTCTTCGCCTTTTATCGCGAGCCGTGCATAAATTCTGGTCAAGGGGCTTCTGATAAATAGAACGTGATCGCTTTGTAAAAATATATTGCGATCATCATTGTGTTCGCGAACGAATATAAGAGCCAATGTCGTACAGTGCTAAAAAAACACGAATGAAATGTTGACATTATGATATCGACATATTTCGAATATAAGTCCCAAAAACGGTTCCCGCGTTTGAAATTCTTCGTTTCACAGGCAACGATCATTAAAAATGGATGAATGCGTAATCCGATCAGACTATGCACGATTCATTTAGCGTTTGTATTATTGACATGCGTAGCGATGCAACGCTCTTTTCTGATTTTGATAAGCCTCGATTGCATCATAGTTACGTTCTTATAGCGTTATCATTTATCAAGTGTAATTCATCCACAGAGCTTACAATGAAAGAAAAGATTAGCTTATAATTCGAAGACTATGTATTTGATCTGTGAAAACTTTTATAATGAAAAAATTTATCTCAAATTGACGGGAGAAGCTATAAATAAAAGGGACGCGCAAGAGACGGAGAGAACTCTCTTCGTACTCTCTCGACAATGAGATACCCAGGTACATAAAGTTATTCATTCACGAAGGTACTTCAAACGTGGCGTAAGATGAAAGCGATTGTTTACCTGAGCACACAGCGACGCTCGAGCATTCACCGGTTAAGGGATAACGCGATTACGGTAAAGTGTGGATGTAACAGATTAATCCATAGTGGACGCAGTCTTTCGAAGATATAACCACGCAGAGAGGCAATTTTGCATGTATACGGTATACACGCGGTTTACAAGAAACACGCGCGACACTCGTTACCAGTGGTTACGTTGTGGGAAGATACATCGCGTTACGTGAATAGGCGTTCACTCGCGTTCACGACGAGGCAGAGAGTGGTTTAGAAAGCGGACACGACGCGACGTGCAGGAAAAAAAAAACTTTATAGCCGCGACGGCAATGGCAGAAAACTCATTCTACTGTCTGACGTTCAACCTGGCCGGGCATTTAAGCCTCCCGCTTCTTCGACCCTACTCCCGCATGTGACGTCAGAGGCGAAAAATTACGCTAAACTTTTCCTCGCAATGTACATTTTTTTTCCCGCAACGACTGTCCGTGATATGCAATTTTCGAGCACGGCTTTACGACCGAAATTCCCAATGTTACGAATCTAAAGTCAATCTATCTAATTATTACTTGATCCCCGATTCCATCGGGAATTAATGTGCGGACGAGAGATTTTTCGGCAAGAGAGAGAGAAAGGGAATAACGTCTACTGCCAACAATTGTCATCTCTCCGGTCAAGGTAGTCTCAATGACTCGCGCGCGTGTGATTGTCACGATTCTCTTGGCAAGAAATACAAAGTTTCCGAGATAAACATTAAAGCTCAAGGATGGCAAACAAGGTGTTCGGCCATATGCGGCAAACACGAAATTCCGCAATGTCGCAAGTGTGTGTAAACATTGACGATAACGAGAGGCTCGTGCTCCTTTTAATATCGAAATATTAGTCGCGGATATTGACGATAACTGGTATTAATATTTTAATAGTATATAATTATCTATATTACATACAAGATTATATTATATTTTGCGATTATATTATAGTTTGTGATTGAAAAAACTTCAAATCTTTATAAATAGGTAAATAAATAGCTCTCTTTAAAAGTATATAAAATCTAGACGTCTGATTTTCGATAAGATACAAAGTAATTTATCGATCCAATTTATTTTAAGAATTTTCTCAATTTCAAAGGTTTGACATATCTCCCTGCGACACTAACTACAATTTATATTATTGATTTACACAAGATGACTTGAACTTGCTATCCAAATATAAACGTAAACTCTCAAATTAATTTTTTTCATTCTATTCCTTTCTCAATAGTAAATAAGAATGCGCATTTTCCGTTCGTAATATTATCGTGTATCGTATCATTATCAGCGATAAGTATCGCGAACTATTTCAACTCGTATGAATTTGCTGGCAAATGGAAACGATGGTCAACAATATCACGTAGAAGGTCAAAGCGCATACTTGCGTTATATTTGCGTTTTATAAAGATTAAAATCAAAGTCATCGTGCAGCATATTTTTCGAAGCTTAATCAGCTCGTGCTCCTTTGTTTACGCGCTTCCCACAATAGAAAGAATGCTGCCCTTTCTCTCCCTCTCGGAAAGCAAGTATATACCGACCGATGTAATTCCCGACCGCTAAAATCGAGCTCTTTATACACGTACATATATTTTCCGTTGCGGAGGAGAGAAATGGAAATGATCGCGATGGTCGGCGACCTAACCAAGCACGACGTCGCGCACATAGTTAAACACCCTCGCTATCCGTCATCGCGTGAAATACGTAGATACACGCGCGAACGTCATCGATATAGAGATACGCCAAACGCGTAAACAGCAGTACCTTGAAATATCCGCCCTGGTAAAGAGTGTCGGGCGGACCGAAGATCGCGACTTCCCACTCGAACATATTGTCCTCGTTGACCAGCTTGACGCGGAAGCCCTCGACGGGCTCCTCCTGCAGGCTCTTGTATTCCAGGGCGAGCGCCCGTAGCGCGCTACTCGTCGGCTGTGCCATGTTCCTCGCTCCAAGCCTCTCACCAAGTATCACCACGCGGTCTTGATATCCCGAGCGGGCGAGGACGTCCCGATAAATGTCGCGTCGTACGATCACCTGCTGATCTCCCGCGGGATCAGCGCGGACGGGACTCCTCCTGTATAAGCGTGACTCCGGAGTAGTAACGGAGGCGAGCACGAGCCCCCGCGCACACACGCGCACACATACACGACACACACGGGGCAGGAGGCACACGCGCGATCACACACGCGCGCGTTTCGCGATTCCCTCGTCGCACGCAGAAGCGTCACGCAGTCTTTCTCACGGGTGCGTACACGACGAACAAAGGAGCGCGTCCGTTACCGTGCAACGACGAAAGTTGCGCGAGAGAAGGATGCCCCACCAGTCAACAATGCAACACCATTCCTCTAACGCTGACGGACGCACACGCACGTCTCCTCGGCGAGAGCCTAACAAAACAGCTGACGTACTCCCTGCGTCAGCGATCTGCCCGACGCGCACGCGCACGCGGCCTCGGCCTCGGCTAGAGTCGCTCGATTTAAACAGCAACTTTGATAGGCGCGCGACGCTAATATCTTTCTAGGAAAGCGAGTATACACGTATTCGGTTCACGTACGCGGTTTGTAGAGTGAGAAAGAATCTAATAAAAATTGCGAAAACTTGCTGCGATTTTTGCACAAAGCGAGACTGTTCAAAGATATGAAATAAGCGTCTAGAAAATTTTGGCGAAACATCGTTATGATTAATTTCATTATTTTATCCTATTGTAAAATTTCAATTTTTTTTCTCAATATACTTACAATAATTATATGATGGCCCGTTTACTCGAAAAATAGTGGTTCGTATATTAATTTTATTTATCGAAAAACTGAAATTAACTTAAAATGGCGACTCGAGAGAATTGATCAAATGACTCTATCATTGGCCGAGCAGCAGCGCATTTTCGTTACCTTGCACGTGGTCGCTTCGAGAATCTTCTTTGATAATATTAGAACGTTCACCTCGCGGATGACGAAAACGAATGAAGCATTTTCAATGGATACAGAGTGTTCAGGTAATGTGCGTGATTGGTTAGAATTATTAACAAAACGTCTAGTCACTCATGCAAATTACGACTTGCACGCGACTCGTAGCTGCTTTCAACACTACGGCCGATATTACATTTGTCATCAAATCGATAAATTTTTTAAGCGTATTGATTGGCTGCAGAAAAGAAAATTTCTCGAGTCTCTAGAAAGCAGCCAATCAATACGCTTAAACAATTTGTGGTAGGACAAATGTAATATCAGCCTGCCAATGTACACTGTCACTGGAAATTTATCAAAAATTCACGTTACGTATAATAAATATTTTGTCACTTTATATTTTATGTAAATCGAAAAGTACATATTGAACTATAGAATTCTTTCGGAATTTGAAAATTCTCTATTCAATAACCAATCGCGTGACATTGTGTCTCCCTATGTTTTCTTGCTAGAAAATACCTAGGATTAAAATTATGGAGAATTCACACTGCATCCAATGGACGTACGACATTTGATAACCAATAGGAGACTTTGTCTCCTAGGGACGAAAATGTCGCTGGATAAAATTTACACCTATTGAACATCGGACTTGAACATTCGAGGTAATGTAAATCTTCCGTTAGATTAGAAGATCAAAAGGAATATGTCACGCATGTCCTAACCTCTGACTTTCTAATACTTAGGAAAGATTAATTTGCCATTCGAGAAATGATATAATATTCTCCTATTTTCTATTTTGATTAGAAATTCAACTTTGCAAAAAGAAAATGGTTAATTTTTTTAATCCATGTATTTTTTGTAAAATTTATATCTAAAGTAATTCACGTTGTTTTAAAGTTTCTGTATTTCCTGATTGCATATTTTTTTTCTCTTTGGATAAAGAGAGAGAGCCTAAAGATGTATCTTTCATTTCGAATAGTGGCAAAAAATGTTAAAAATTCTATAAGAACTTCATGATATAAATCTTCATAAGGAGAGATCTTAAGTCGTAAGCACTGAATAATTCATTAGAGTTCAGGCGAAATATGTTAAAAATAACGTATGGGAGAAAAACAATTTAATATAGGAAATATTTCGCTATATAAGAAGCACATGCTACGTGTTGTTATAATAAATAATTAACATTTCATTTATTTAAAAAATAGAATTAGAACATAATTGTGTAAATATTGGGAGATAAATCTGTTATGATGTTGAATAAAACAAGCGAAAGAAAAAATTGTCTCTTCATCAATCAGGATATTTATTGCTTCATTATCATTATTACTATAAAAAGTTAATCTAAAATATGTCTTTCAATAATCCAATCAGTCTTTCAATAATTATTGTGTTCTTTATATATACGCGCAGTTTTCACAATCATTTCACATTCCTTACATGAGTGTTCTTAAAGAGTATATATATATATATATATATATACGATATAATATATGGCCTTCCTCTCTCCTCTCTCCTCTCTCCAGCGTATCCCATGTAGTATCGTCCATGAGAGATAGTAGAAACGTTCATTTGGAATATCATCGTGAGACGTCCATTTGCTTTATGCTGCGTGATACAGTTTAATACGTAACGTGGTACAAAATCATCTATATTATATACGAAGACTGATACTTTTTAAAACGTGCCTAAACCGAAAAAAAAATGGTTCAAATAAGTCCAGAATTGTTTCAAGTGTTCGGCTTTTGGAGCAGCGTGTTGGTGTTAAAATTGCTGGCAATGTTACCTTTGACCGTACGACAGCGATTTAGAAAAAACGTAATAAATTAAACATAATATAGAACCTCTTTTCTGTAAATTATTTTTGATAATATATTTTTATTTAATAAATATAAAATTTTTAATAAGTTTACAATAAACTGCGTCACCATGTTACTCTAAATATAAGATAATATAATTTATATAATAGTATCATAATATTTCTCTTTTTCTTGATAAAAATTTAATAAAATTAAATTAAAGACTAAAGACTATATATATTTTAGAGGAAAATTAAAATACAGTAAAAATTTTCTTGAGTTTCTTTAATTTAGTTAGCAAAAAATAGATCTTATTATTTATTTTTAAAATGTATATATTAGATTGTATTTATTTAAAATTTTAAAAATTATGAAATTTGTAAATATTCTATCACACAGAATGAAATTAATTTTGTAATAATTGTTATAGGTATTTATGAATGAAGAAGATACCAAATTAGGCAGCAAAGGCAAAGTGGCATTCAATGATCCAGATGTGGAGCGTGTACGAAGAGCACACCAGAATGATCTGGAGAATATTCTGCCATGGTTTATAATCACATACCTGTGGTTAGGTACTGGACCTTCACTATGGTTAGCTAAAATATTGATACAAACGTTTGTACTTGCCCGAATAGGTCATACAATTTCATATGTTATTCTTCCGCAACAACCTACAAGAGCGATAGCTTTCTTCATAGGCTTTAGTATTACAGGATATCAGACGCTTTCCACATTATTATACTATTCTTAATTTCATAAAAAGATTTTTTATAAAGTTCTATATATGCATATATATTATTTTGTTAAAATTTTATAATGGGTTGTATAATGGGCATAATAGAATTTTAGGAATAATGTTTAAACTTAAGATGATACTTTAATATTTGATAATACTAGAATTATTGTTATATGTTTAAAAATATTTCATATTCCTAAATTTTATAAAGATAAAATATATAAAACATATTTTCTCATGTACAGACATATATGTAGATACGAAACAAACTTATGTACATTGAATTGAATATATATTCTCTGTGCTATGAGAATTAAAAATCTTATCTTTTCAAGTTCGTTTTGCAAGTAACGTCGCATATAATCGCAAACAAGGTCGTATATAATCATAGCGTATAATCATCTTTTTAATTTTAACGTCCTGTTTCGTTTATATATTGGGCATGAAAAGATATTAATCATATATTCTGCAAAAAAAATTGCATGCTTTTTTTTATATATCCTATAAAACTTGTGACCTATAATATTGTCATGTTATTCTGAAAAAACCTGCGATATTTATATTTAAAAAAATGATATATCTGCAATGCTTGCATATAATTGTAACTAATTAATTCCATTAGTTTTTCCCCTTTATATTTTACAAATTTATTTCTTCATATATGCTGAAAAATCCGACGCATTTACATGATATTCGCACAGATGCTGTTAGTCGCGCACGCGTCTTGACACATCTTGAAGGCGCATACGCGAACTTTATCATACGCGGTCGTCATGACGGCGGCACCGCGACGCCGACAACGCGGGAATGTCAGACGTCGCGACGCGTCTGTGACGTCCTAGTCGTCCTCGTCGTCGTCGTTATCACCGTGATTGCGTCGTTAGTGCCGCGACGTTCTTCGACGATAGAATGTTTTGACCCGTACTTTTCGACGCGTTAAAATCGCGGGACTCTTGCCGGTATGATTTGATTTTGTTGAGTTTGTAGGATGCGGAATTGCAGATTCTCGCGAAAATCAAGAATCGCGCTACAATTCGGGCTTCTCGCGCGGGGATCGATATCTGAACCGCGAAGCGATCAAGGGATACGATCGTAGGTAAGTGATATTTTTATTATAAAGAGAGTAATATATAAGGTACAAAAATATAAAAACATAAGATAACTATTAAAATATCTATTTTTAATCCGATGAGAACGTAATTGATATTATATAATGCATTTATCGATAAAAAAAAATCGATATAAATCACACGATAAAAAAAAATGTAATTATACGAAATAATAGAACATTTTTTTATATATTACTATATATATATATATATATATATATATATATATATATATATATCAAAAAATATATCAATAAATGCTTTTGATATTTTTTCTATTATTTTTTATAATTACATATTTTTTAAATATTTTTTATCGTACATTGTTTTACATGCATAGAAGAGCATTGTGTTTAAAATAAGCAGAGTACAGATGGTTGAATAACGTAGGAGAAATTCCTTATCTTATATCCATGCAATTTTCTCCTTTGTTCCGACGACAAACACGGATACCCAAGATACACGCGAATAGAATCAAGCGCGGGCAGGTCATTCCCTGCACCTGCACCTCAATTTCTGTGAGGATCAAGCCTTTTTCTTTTAGTCTGAATAGAAAAGCCAGCTGAACGATTCTTTCTCACGTGCAACGGTTTGCATAGGAAGGTAGAAGTATGTCTTATCGAAGATTGAAATAAGTTTTCAGCTTCTTTATGATGATAATTTCGTGAGACGCCTGCGGTTAAATGTATTTTCCTTAATAGTCTCGTGTCATCTATACATTATTAATTAATCGATTCAATTTAATGTAGCATAATTAATTTCATTTTAATAAATAATTAATTTTTTTTAAGAAAACATTTTTGTCTTTTGGAAATTCAAACATGTGTGTATAATATTTAAATAATTTATAATTAAAGCTTTATATATATGTATATATAATTTAAACTATATTATTTTTATACATTTTATATATTAATTTCATTACATACATATATATTTTATTATTTATATATTTACTTAATATACTATTTTTATATTACCTATATATTTTATTTTTCTCATCTTATATTTTATTGATATATATAATTTATATACGCTTTTCGTTTTCCACATTAAATTAATTCCTTAAACTAACAAGAAGTTTCCGATGTATCAAAGAGCTGAAACATTTTCCGGCGCCAGTGATATCATAACGTGTTCGTCAACGGTGTATCAATGTTTGTCTACTTTCCGGGGCTTTAGACCTTTAATGAAATTTTCTCACGAACCCGATACGCTCTTGAATATGTAGAAAAATTTATTAGCGGCTGTAATTAAAAATTCTCATGGAAATATCGATATTACGCAATTAATTAACATTCCTATGGATGCACAAATATTAAATGTTTCATTTTCTTAAAGTTTATCGCACAAAATTCTGTACATCATGCGATACGTACGATGCGTTTACGACGTCGCAAGATTATAAAACACACGTATCGCATTCCATCAAATAGACAAATTTCTTCGTTGTTTCATCGATATTGTCCGTGGTAACCACATCTAGGATATATGTGTAGATTGCGCATTAAGTGCAAGCATGCGAACGTCAATAGTATGTACGTACATCTTCGTTACTCCGGAGATACACATTCTTCTAAAGAAAGACGTTCCCCTATAAGCACGATCAATTTATTAGATCACACAATTTATATTCTTCGTAAAATTTTAATTATTGTCAGCAACGCAAGATAATTAAAAAATAGTTTTTATTAATGTTTATGAGGCTGCTTTCATCTCATTTCTCTCTCTCTCTCTCTCTTCATTTATGCACAAAATAATCATGTTTTATAAATCAACCCAATTCTCTCTTTAAAAATGTGTGTGCGCTTTTTATAAAAACATGCATTACCAAAAGGTTGAATTTTTTGCCAACTTTATGACATTTCCATGACATTTCTATAAAAAAAGCGACGTTTCATAAAAGAAGCTAGGCTTTACAATCCGCTTTATAATCCGCATAAACTGTAATTGCCGGTCATTCTATTGCGTTTGTATAAAGACCGTACGGATACTTTATTGAATATCGCAAATATTAATTAATTGGTGACGTTAGCCCGTACCGGCGGCATGCACGTGATTACAAAGCGGCATATCGACCACCGAGGCCGGTCCCTAAAGGCAGTTTAAACGCAAGGGACCATAAGCGTTCGCCCGATGCATGCCTGCGGCGCACAGGAGAGATTCACGCGGTGCGGTGCATCGTGTTGTGTGTGCGCGCGGTTATCGATAATCGTGTCAATTTTCCGTGTCGCGTGGTCACGCCTTACACGTGCGTGCCATCCGAAATTGCATTTCTCTGTATCGGCTGTCACGGCGAACGATGCCGCACCGGTGCGGCTGCGATTCAATTTGCGTCCGGATTAGTAGCAAGATTCTAATCACGTTTGTGAGGCGCTTTCACCCTGCTCCGCGCCTACGTTGGCCAGACAGTTACGCCAAACAAATTCTCGCTTAACAAAGCGAGATGAGCTGGTCTACGTTTCTTTTTTCTCGTAAATTAGATGTCGCTCGAAATATGTACCCAGGTAGCAGAGGGACGTCAAATGACATCTTAATAAACGTTTTAATGACGTTATTGTACGTCATTAAGACGTCCGGAGATGTCATCTTGCTACCTAGATAGTATTATAAATGGAAAGCAAGAATGAAATATTTTCTAATAGTGAAAGTCTCTTCCACGTTTCCTCTTACATCGAGCATTAAAATATCTTTAGAAAAATGAGTGCTAAGTTAAGTTAATGATACAGAGGCATAAATCGAGCACCACTGTTGATGTCTGCGTTTTAATGTCACGGCCGTGTATTTGTATGTGACGCCTTCGTCATACATACAAGTGCGCCCGAGATATCGCGCATTTGGCTCGGAGTTATTCTCGGAGATATTTATCGCTGTATTAAGTATTCCATGCGGAGAGACTCTTAACGCGCCTCGATAGAGGAGCGAAACGGCTCGTGACATCATAGGCTGCAAATGCGTGCACATTCACGATTTATCCCTGCCCAACCAGACGACCCCGATGCGATGATATTCGTTTATCCGTTTATGGCACGTGAATCGGGACACGGGATAAAATATCGTACTTGAAAGCCCTGATACGATCCTTGAAGGCTCGGTGATCAAACGCGAACGCGCAGGGATTGACATAAATAAAAAGGCATCGCCGATTTCTGGCCGCTCGCTGGCGCACCCTTGAAAGAAAGGCCGAATCGCATTATAAAGTAAATCAGCCAAAGAAAAAGCAGCAATCTCCGAAGGATTCCGCGGAATCGTAACGTAACGTCTGAACAACGTATTCATTGTAATTCATGGACGCGCGGGGCGTCATTATAATGCGCGCGTAAATAACCACGTATGGTTTTACATCCGGTGACTTCATAAGGTCGATATAACTCGTGAACGTTGTTTAACAACGTTCGTTTGAGTATTATTATTAATATTATCAATGCACTTGGAATGACATTTGACAGGAATTATAAAGTTCTCAATAAAACACTACTAATCACGCAGGGAGCATCACATTCATGCAATCTTGCAAATTTGACGTTAATTGGAGTAATGGCGAATCAAAGTGCGTATTAGAGTAATGAGAGAAATATTTGATAATTTTAGCTACACGATATCAAAATGTTTTTTAAAAGTATTTTTAATGTTTGAGAGATTGATGATTGAAATTTTGCTATAACTATTTCCTTTATGTTAATGATAAAAATAGGACAATAGAGTAGAAAGTTAAATAAAATCAAAATTAGTTAAATTTAATACTTGTTACATTATAAATTTATAATATTTATTCATTATTTTTTATTTTATAATTTATAATACTTAATATTTATATTTTTTAGTTTATTTTTTTATATTAGATATAATTAGTAGAATTTTATTTAATAAAAATTGAGATATTGTGTGTGAATTAATTTTTTGAGATAGGAGCGTAAATGAGCAAAGCTCATGCATTTATTTTTAATCTAAAATGTAATTGAAATTAATTATAAATATAGAATTTTAATTTTTCTTTTGGATATCTATTTTTA